TGTGTGTGTATGTATGTGTATGTATGTATGTATGTATGTGTGTGTGTGTGTGTGTGTGTGTGTGTGTGTGTGTGTGTGTGTGTGTGTGTGTGTGTGTGTGTGTGTGTGTGTGTGTGTGTGTGTGTGTGTGTACAATCGAGATTAGATAACTTAATATCAATTAAAAGTTTTAATTGATTCAGCCTGGTAGATTTTGAGAAATTTTAGAAATGATATTTTCAAAAAAATAATGTAAATAAGTTTTGGGTCACTGTAACAATTAAATTTGAAACCTTGTTATTCTTATTCCAAAAAAAAAGTGTCGCACGCAGCTCAACGAACTTTATTTTCTTGAAGAATAATTTTAGTCAGGCTGATTTGGTCACAATTTTTATATTTGATAAATGTCATCGGGCACCGTAAATCACATCACGAACGATTATTCATGTGAAAAATAGTGAAGTTCAAATACTAAAATAAAGTAGTTTTTCGAGTGACTGATTATTAGATAGATTTTCAAGTTTTTGCGCTTGAAAATAGCAAGAAGTTTCGAAGGTGGCTCTTAAGATCAAACGATCTTTAGTTTTTGTTAGTTTATTCACTTTATTTAATACTAGCAGTCTGCCCTGACTTTGCACGGGTATTCAACAAAAATTTCCAAATTATTCATAATATAAAATAGTCTATGTCACCCGAGGATAGTGTAGCTTCCCAACAGTGAAAGAATTTTTCAAATTGGTTCAGTAGTTTCGGAGCCTATTCAATGCAAACAAACCAACAAACAATCAAATCTTTCCTCTTTATAATATTAGTATAGATAAATTATTAAACAATAACACACTTTTGATATAAACTTAAATTAATCTTTGTTAAGTCTTTATAGCTCTAATAACTCAAACTAGATTTATAATATTAAGTTGTACGTGAGAAAATAAAATAATAGTAAGAGGAAAAATAACGAGCTGTTAACTCAAAGAAAGGCAAACAAAATCTGATTGTTAATAATCATAATAATAAAGAGGTATCCAAGTGACGCGTATCAAATATTTTGTAGCGACCAAACCGCCTCTTGATTCCTCGTAGTGAACAAAATATAAAAGATGACGCTAAATATAAAAATTGATTTGTAGAAGTTTTCTAACAGTTTTTTTTCTTTCTAATTTTTAATTGCAAAATAAAATACTGTATAAGCTTAAATTTATTTATGTTTGTGTTTATGAAAAATATATCGAAAAATAGTATTGAACTGGTTAAGCAAGAAATCAACCAATTTTCATTTTAAATATCAAATTTGATATCGGCAAGTGTTTGGGATGTCCATCTGCTACTATTTTTTTTTTTTTAAGTTTCAATAAGGTACATGTTTCTTATCAGACTATTTTTATGATACTAGCCGCCACAAACGCAACAAGCGCCATTACAAATTCAACCATCGATTATTTCTCAACAAGCAGTTGCTGCAGCTACTGCAGCTGCGCAGCAGCAGTATACGGCAGTCCCAGTATCTATGGTAGAAACTGGACGACAAATGCTCCTTACGGTAAGTACAGTAGTAATTACTTTTAATGAATATATTGTGATGGAGTAAATTTTTTTATAATCAACTCCCGCGTGCTTACTCCATTCATTGGATTTTTTATTTTTGACTTATTTACTATTCTAAATAACAATTTTGTCCTTTTGATGACAATGCCGGGGCGCCACTTAATTTTTGTCTAAAAATTAAGAAAAGAGAAATCAAGAAAAGACAAGACAAAAAAAAACGAAAGACGATGCCGACTAGACAGTCCTGCTGCATGAGCCTCAATCAGGAGTCCCGTGGGTGGGGTCGTCCGCGGGAGGACTAGTAGAACTGCAAAAGGAGTCAGGAAAAGTTATTTTAGGCAAAGATTTTCGTTATTATGAGCCTTTGTCACAGGCATTTAATTTTCCTTCTTTCATTTGACTCTAATAACACTAATAACTTTCAATGTTCAGTACAAGTTTCGACTTACACTAAATTTTTTTACAATATGTTCATAATTTTTCTTATTATAATAAACAAATCTTTTTTTTGTTTGTTAGTTCGTTATGACACTCTATAAAAATAACAATATTCTATTTCAACATACTCACAAACCTATTTTTGACTACAGCCCGCGAACAAATTTTTAGAATGTAATACTCAACTTACAGTTTTTTTTTCTTTTTCTCTGTTGCTCGGGAATTTTAATTATTATACCTAGCACGAAATGGCGGACCAGGGATGTAGCTGGAGAGACGACTGACGTTACGAAGTTGTTCGAACAATTCGAATAGTTCAAATAATTCAAACAGTCGTTTTCTGTTGATAAACTAACTAATTTTTGTGTAAAAATTAATTCGTTTTATTTTACTTGACTAAATGGAGTCTTCATAATTATTTGATAGTAAAGTCTTCTTATTATTTGTAATAAATATTTCTTAGTGTATTCGGACCGCCTGGGGGCACCTCGCCATTTTGACATTTCTTCGGAAAAATTCGATTTTTTTTTTTTTAAGAGATCTACGACACAATGGATCAGACATTGGAGAAGTGCATTTGGAAATTCTATAGCTTTATCTCTAGCTAGGATTATTTAAATTAATTGATTTTTCTCTAAACTTTAATAAATTAAGTCTATACTATATTTATAGCTATATTATATTATATTATGTTATATTATATTATAGCTATATTTATATAGCCCACATGAACTTTATATATTTTATATATTCCACAAATATGAGAAATGTCATATATGTAAAATATATAAAAAAAATCGTGTGCGTACTCAAATGAAAAGTCACGATGAATGTAGTATAAGGATAAACTTATATCTTGAAAAATGTCAGTAACTAAGAAATGACGTTTTATTTTGTCTACTGATGATATTTTTAACGATATGAGCTCTTCCTGGAGTTACACGAATTTTTCTATATATTTTATACTTATGATGCATCTCATATTTGTAAAATATATGAAATATATGAAAAATTCGTGTGCCTACTCGAATAAAAGGTCTCGATGAGCGTAACATCAGGATGAGCTTATGTCTTAAAAAATGTCCATAACTAAGAAATGACGTATTTTGTCTACTGATGATATTTTTAACGATATAAACTCATTCTAGAGTTACATTTATCGAGACCTTTCATTTGAATACCCACACAAATTTTTTATATATTTCACAAATATGAGAAATATCATATATATAAAATATATGAAAAAAATCGTGTGCGTAGTCAAATGAAAGGTCTCGATTAGCTTAATTTTAGGATGAGCTTACACTTAAAAAATGTCAATAAGTAAGAAATGACGTTGCATTTTGTCCACTGATGAGATATTTTTAATTATGTAAGCTCATCTTGTTGTTACCCTTATCGAGACTCTTAATTTGAATACCCACACGAATCTTTTATATATTTCACAAATATCAGAAATATCATATACATATATAAAATCTTTTATTAAAAAACTCTATTGTGTCGTAGATCTCATTCAAAAAAAAAATCGAATTTTCCCGAAGAAATGTCAAAATAGCGAGGTGCCCCGAGCCGGGGGGTCCGAATACACCAAGAAATATTTATTACAAATAATAAGCATGCTTTACTATCAAATAATTATGAAGACTTTATTTAGTCAAATAAAATAAAACGAATTAATTTTTACACAAAAATTAGTTAGTTTATCAACAGAAAACGACTGTTTGAATTATTTGAACTATTCGAATATTCGATTCAATTCAATTCGAATACTATTCGCACACCCCTATTTAATTTATTTGAATAAAAAAAAAAGAAGTAACTATATTTGTAATAGAATTTAATGAAATTATTTGAAATTCCATGATGCTTCAGAAATACAGTTCTTTCTTATTCGATTGTTGATTTTGTCTATGGTTTATTGTTAAACTTTATTGTTTATTGTAATTGCTAATAAAAAATAAAATCCAGCATCAATAAATCCTTCCTTATTGGTTATTATGAAGCATTTAGCTATCCTTAAGATCATTTGAAGCATGACTATATATGGTTCTATATAGATGTATAATTATATATGCAGCTATGTAGAATCTTTCGTGATTATATATGGGGCATTCCATGCCAAATCGACCACTTTTGACACCGACCCTTTTCGATTTTTCTGAAATTTTGGTATCTTTCTCTACCCTATTGAAAACAATTTTCAGAATTTTTTCAAATTTTTTTACCCAACCAAAAAAAAGTTACGAGTTATTACAAAAAAACAGCTTTTTTTTTGTTAAATAACCATAACTTTTTTGAAAAATGACTTTTTGGGATGTTTTTTTTTTAAAAATTTTTGTCTTTAAATGTACTTTAAAAAAAAAAAAAAATAAAAATAATAATTCGGATTCATATTCAATGTTTTTTTTTTAACTTTTTGGAAAAAAAAAACGAAAATTTCGGGATGATTGACATTTTTGATTTTCAATTTTTCTTTTTTATAAAAAACTTCAGTATTTTTTGCAAATTCCCTAAAATTTTCAAAGTGGTAAACTTTTTCTTTCTATTTTTTTTTCAGAGTGGTATAACGAAAAACAAACATTTAAAAAAAAATTTTTTTTTTCATTAAAAAAAAAATAGAAAGAAAAATTGTTTATGCATTGTTTATATGCGACGCAGTCCCAGTGTTTCATCTAATTCACGGTCAGGTTGTTCGTGGTCAGGTTCCAGTGGGTTCCCCTCGTGAAAGGGTTTCAAGTCTTTGATATGCACGGTGAAGGTTTAACTTCCTTGGTAACCTCGAATACTGAGGGTCCAACGATTTTAGTTACGGTAAAGCCCATAGCAAACTTCTCCGTAAATTCAGTCGAAAAATTATCAATCGCGGATGACAAGTGATGTTCTCTCTTGCTAACCAGGTCTTCAAGAACTGGTTGCCAAGAACCTCGTTTACGATTGTAATATTTGGCTTGTTTCCCATAGGCCTGTGCCAGGTTAACTTTGACTAACTTGATCGTGTCTTCCAAGGTCTTGGCTGCCCGATGCGGATTGTACACTTCGCTCTTTCCTCATTCGGCTTGCGACCTTATCGACAAAGGAGGCTGGATTTCACAGCCGTAATTTAAATACGCCGAGGAAAATTCTGTCGCGTCATGTTTCGCGGTGTTACATGCAAAAGTGAACTCTGGAACTTGCTTATCCCAATTTCTCTGGTTCGTTTCAACGAACTGGGCGATGATCGTTCCTATTACTCGGTTCGTTCTTTCGACTGAATTGCACTGAGGCGTATATGGAGGTGTTCGGACGTGTTTGATCCCAAATTGTTGTAGTAAAGAGGTAAACTCCTTGCTTACAAAAGGGGTACCATTGTCGGTAATTACCGTCTCCACCCTTCCAAAACGCAGCAGGACACGTTCTTTGAACGCAGCGGCGATTGCGGTGGCTGTTTGATGCCGTAACAGTTGGACTTCGATCCATTTTGTAAATTTATCCTGGAATACTACTAAGTAACACATTCCTCGGGAGGATCATAGAGCAGGGATTGTTCCCATTGGGGCCGACGAAGGTTGCTGTGAGGCCTTGTATGCCTGGCATGTCACGCACTGACGCACGTAGGCAGTTCTTTCCGCCCTCATGCGCGGCCAATAATACTGGTTCGATACTCGGACAATCGTTTTCGCAATGCCTAAATGACCGGCTGAAGGAGCATCGTGGTTCTCGTGTAGGATTTTACCGAACCCTGCGGCCGCAACACATAATTTCCAGACGTCGCCTCGGTCTGCGCAGTCCAAACTATAATACCGATGCCGGTATAACAGGCCTTGTTTCAGGCACGACTCAGGGTATCTTTGTGGGTCATTCTCGACCCCTTTGACAATTCGTTCGTACCAAGTGTCTTCAAGATCCAGGGCTTCGAATACCAAGTCGGTTTCCGGTTCATGAGGGTCTTCCTTGTCGGGATTTGCAGAAGTGCTTCGCGATAGCGCGTCCGCGACTTTATTCTACTTACCTCTCCGGTATACGACGTCGAAGTCGTACTGTTGAAGATACAGGCTCCATCTAGGTACGCGACCGCTCGAGCTTTCGATCGATCGGAGCCATTTCAGTGACTGTCGATCCGTGACGACAGTGAACTTATACTCTTCGAGTTATGGTCTCAATTTCTGAATTGTCCAGACCACTGCGAGGCATTCTTTCTCAGTTACGCTGTAGTTTCGTTCGGCTTTGTTCAGCCATCGGCTCGCATTTTTCAGGGTTTCAAACGCAGTTTGTTCTGGAGTTTCCCATCTCCAACGTTTCTTCTTTTGAACAAGGGAAGACAAAAGTTTGGTCAGGTCTGCGCAGTTGGGAATAAATCGTAGATACCACGATATCATTCCCAGAAACTGGCGCAGCTCTTTTGTTGTACGCGGTGGGGCAATCTCTGTGATTGCTTTGACTTTTTCCGGATCTGTTCGGATTCCCTGTCCGTTGATGACATGTCCTAAATACACGATACTTTGTTTTAAAAAGTGGGATTTCTCGGGATTCAGCTTCAAGTTCGCGGCGCGGAGACGTGTCATGATCTCTTTCAGGATTTCCATGTGTTCGGCAAGGGTTTCGCTAACGATTATTATATCATCCAGGTACACTACTACATGTGCTTCGAGGTCTGCGCCTAGGACCTCATTTTTCGTATATTATTTTAGATGTTCAAACTTTTCAATTATTTATTTTTTAATTTTGAATATTTTTAATGATTATTTTCAATTTGGTAATTTTTAAACTGGTGATATTTTGTCGATGCTTTTTTTTAATTATTGATTATACGAAATAAATATTTGCGAATTTCGTTATTTGTAAATAACTGTTTTTTGTTTTTTATATTTAACGATACATTCAATTTATTTTAGACATTATTAGACATATCATGCTTGCTTCGCTCGCCTTCATTCATTCAAAAATCCCGCCATTATCGTCGACCAATCAACAATCGAATAAAATAGTCACAGAAGTGACGTAAAACGATACAACATCCGGCCATCAACTTTTTAGAAGAGGATTTACGTTTCTACCATTTAAGAAATATTTTTTTTTACTTTTAGCTTACTTCATAAATAGAAAAATATATGATTTTCAAATTTTAGAGTTTAAACTCCTCCTAATTTAGGGTTGGCAATAAATCCCTAAACATAGAAACCGACTCGAATTAAGGCAGTTGTCGTGGTTAAGGCATACCGTCAGAAAATTCTAAATTTTTGTATACTTATTGAAGACATGATGATACAATTACCCTAAAAATTTGAAGTCGATTGACCACCTATAACCCGAGATGAATTCAATTCAATATTGGATACTTAACATTGATTGCATACGCTCTCTGCAATTCTGTACCAGTTTCTTAGTTTTAAAAAAAAACTTATTGTCAAAAACTTTCAAAAAACTGACAGTCTTTTAATGTATTTGTTGTGAGTTTAAAAATAAATTTTTGACCGTCTAATTATTTATAAATAAGTCTTGCGTAAAAATTATGGATTACTTAGCTACAAGCTCATGTACTTTTGGGGCGCGTATAATCTCTAATTTTTTCACAATATTGTACCATGACAACTACCTTAATGAACGCGATTGTATAATTATATATAAAAATTTCTTCTCGGGTACTGAGAAGTCGTGGAAATCAATTTTTGTTCTCATATTATACTAACTCAATTACATTTCAATACTATATTCAATTCTTTACCCTTGTGTATCTTATCGTTTTAATTTTAGAATGCAGTTCAAACATCTTGGCCTACTGGAAGCCGACAAATGACAGCTATTGTACCATCATGGCAACAATTACCACCTCAACATGCAACGATTCAACAACCAATTCTTAGTGATACTAGTGATTGGGGACGACCTCTGATTGTAGATAGCTCCTCAATATTACAGGTAATTCGTCAACATTTATAGCTTTGAGTTTGAAAATAGTGAAAAGTTTCAGGGATGGCAGGCAGGGTGAACTTTTTATAGATTTTTTGAGACTGTTTTATTATAGCTTGGGATAAACACATCAGTATGTTTTAGATAAAACGAAATATTTATTTGCGCATAAAAAAAAATACAATCTTGAGTAAAGAACAATATTCTTGACTTAGAAGCTTCTATCGAAAGACCACCATGATCTTGAACGAAGAATATTTTGTTCTTAATTTTAAACATTTTGATTAAGTTTCCAATAATAGAATAAAGTTATTTTAATCAATATTTTTGATTTCTCAACGCAAGAGATATTTTTACTTACTCCAAAACAAAATAACTTCACTCAAGAGCATCGATGTTCTTAGGTTCAGATAATTAGATTGCAGCGGCGCCTTTAGAATGATACCAAAATCAGATACTATTAATAGAGTAATAAATACACCAGTCTTGCAAGAAGCGTGCAATGGCTGTACTATGAGATTTATATTGTTGTACTAGGCCTGATCCAACAGGATTCGAGTCCTGTAGTCGGTATTTTTTTCCGTTACTTTTAATTTATAGAAAAATTGATATTATAATGATATTATAATAATTATTATAAATTGATATAATTGAAATTTGATAGTTAAAGCACTTAATTAATCAATTTTTATTTGTAAGGACCAGCGGCCTGTATTTCCTGTAACTGATGTTTACAATACGAGTACTTTAATAGACCATCCATCACAAACTTGGAATAAACGTAGTGTAACAAAACATCATCAGCATCATCTTACTGTACCTCAGCAATCTCAACACCGACATGACCATAAAAAAGAAATACAACAACTGAGTCCGGTGAAAAAGAGGGTAAAAGAAAGTACACCACCTAGTAGCTCCAGGAGATTTTCACCATCAAATGGTCAATGGCAACAAGCAATTCAAACTCATCACATTGGAAAACACCTTATTGCTCACAACGGGGAGCAACAACAAAATTTAGTTACTAAACAGCAGACTATCACTATTCACGATACTCCATCTCCTGCGGTATCAGTTATAACAATCAGTGATAGTGAAGATGAAACAATTGGAAAATGGTGAGTTGAATAAATAAATAAATGTATTACTCAGAAATCTAATTCAAAAAATATCTAAAATTTTGAAACGGAAAATCATTAGTGACATTTCAACTTTTAAAACTTGAATTTTTGATTGATTATAATCATCACGTTTCGAGGTCGAGAAGAAGATATAGCTTAGAGAATGTCGTTAAATTACGAAAGGCGTGTTAGTAAATTGAATTATATCATTTGGCGGATTTTCTCACTTTCCTGCTTTTGCCCTATTTTTTTCCACTAGAACTATTTTTCATCCACACGCATTTTTCTATACTCCACACTTTTATTTACCAACTTATTCCCGACTGCGTCTCCTTTTGGACGTCTTCGCAGCGGTTTCTAGAATAGGCTTAATCCCAATTACACCCTCATAGCGGACGTCTATGCAACGGTTTTTAATATAAAATTCCTATTCTGATCTGTAACCCCTTTTGGACGTCTATACAGCGGTTTATACAATAAAATTATTGCCAAATTTTTTCTTACTAAATTTCACAGAATTTCCCTCATTAAATTTTACTAAATTTCCCTTGATTAAATTTTACAAACAATTTTTCCTTATTATATTTCTCAACAAATTACCTAATAGACTTTAACGAAATACTGATAATAATTTCAATTCCGAACTATTTCTAATTTCCACGAATTTTAATTTTATTTATTTTTAATTATAAATTTTGATCTAAGTTGAGTCTCGTTTGTTAATTCTGAGTTGATAATTTATTTATATTTGATTCAGATTTTGAACAAAATAATTTTGAAAATTTTCAGTAAAAATAAATTCCTCAATGATTTATCTATTGTCTCTGGCTGACCATCTTGTTCTCAAACGAGACTTGACTTTGAGACTGCTGTTTTCTTTTACAATGTTTAATTTCGGCAATTCAATACAAGAGTTAGTTCTGATTTATTAACTTAAGATGTTTTATTATTTGAACTGTAAATTATTTTCAACATATCAGATTATTGTTCGTGATTCTAAAGTCCTCCGAGATGACCTTGGCTCAATTTTGTAATTAGTTAAACGTAGTATAAGCCCAACGAGTTATTAATAAACTTTAGAGAATTTATAAAATTCCTTTACAATTAATAATCACAAAACTAACTCTTATATAATTCACTAAGGACTACTGGAATCTGGTCTGGTTAACGAAGATTTCTAATTTCTGGCAAATCACCTGGTTGATTTTATTTCCGAGGTGACGCTAAATAATGAATTCAATACCTGAAAAACTTCCACGAGAACTTGCTGCGAGCTAAACCGTACGCTGCGTTGCTGCTTTCTAGTGTTGGGTCAGCTAGTAGATTATATATGACACTGAAGTTGGCATACAGCCGACAAATATAATTTTTAGATGCGGATATCTCGAGTAGGAATGGAGCTACGGCAAATGGACGCATATGAAATTATTTGGCGCGAAAATATCTACATGTACAAAATTTTTTAAATTTCGAAAATGTTTCAAAAATTTTTTATGACCAAAAATAGTTTTTGGAAAGCTCTCATAAAATTCTGGATGGTCCAAATTTCTTAAAAACTCATTATTTTCATTTATTTTCAATTATTTGAATGTACATTGATTCAAAATGCGTTTTGTCTGCTAGGACCTTTGGTTCATGATAACTCCTTAAAAAATGATTTTTTTTTTTTAAATAAAAAATTGTACATACAGTTTATATGAAAATACACATGTACATTTTTTGATTTTTCTTAAATTTGAATATTTTCAAAGATATCCGTATCCAAAAATATTTTGAAATTTTTGGATACGGATATGAATTTGAAAAATAATTTTTTTGAAATTAAAAAAAGAGTACATGTTTATTTTTACAAAATACACATGTACATTTTTTGGATTTTTTCAAAATTACATATTTTCAAAAATATCCTTACTCAAAAATATTTTTTAATTTTTGGATGCGGATACGAATTTGAAAAAAATTTTTTTTTTTTAAAAATAGAAAAGTACTTGTGTATTTTTCGAAGAATTACATGTACATTATTTTTTTTGTACTTTTTCCATTATTTTCAAATATATTTCAAAATTTTTATTTTTTTTTATTTTTGTCTAAAATAAAAACTTAAAAAAAAGTTTTTTTTTTCTTTAAATAAAATATGTACTTACTCCTTTCTTAAAAATCTTCATGTATATTTTTAAAAAACACCAACATTGTCTATTATCTATGCCTAATATCTATTAATAATTATAAATAACTATTTCTTAACTTCTCAATTTAAAGTGTGCCATAGAACTATTTATTATTGCATACTAAGAAATCATTTAATACTTTAGATAAATAAAAAAAATACCTCTACATATTTGTGAATAAATAATTTCGTTATAATGTAAAAATATTTTTAAGGGAGAGTCGTGCAAAATATCACTCATTGAATTTACACGAACAATTGTAAATAAAAACTCGACTCATTTCTTATTGGTTCAGGATTAGAGCCCGCGCAATTTGAATTCTTAGTATGCAATAATAAATAGTTCTATGGCACACTTTAAATTAAAAAGTTAAAAAATAGTTATTTATAATTATTAATAGATATTAGGCATAGATAATAGACAATGTTGGTGTTTTTTAAAAATATACATGAAGATTTTTAAGAAAGGAGTAAGTACATATTTTATTTAAACAAAAAAAAAAACTTTTTTTTAAGTTTTTATTTTAGACAAAAATAAAAAAAAATAAAAATTTTGAAATATATTTGAAAATAATGGAAAAAGTACAAAAAAAAAAGTTGTTGATTTGTACTGTGCGACTCTCTAAATCCGAATTGTTCGGGAATGATGATATCATTCGATTTTAAATAGTTAGTGAGTCTTTTGTTAATTACTATCTCTAATACTTTGCTCAAAGTTGACAATAGGCTTATCGGTCTATA